TGCTCGAATTCCAGCAGTGGGGAAACGCACTTGCAAATCTTGCTGAGGGTTGAAATCGACATCCTAACAAGCGAATAGTGAGTATGCGACAATAAAGTGACGTCTTTTAGTCTCCATACATTAATGATGACAACATCAGCTGACCATAAGTTGATGCCCACTCCTGCGATGGACACGCTAAGAGATAAGAACCCGAGGAAATCACGAAACGCACCTCCTGCTCGTGTCGTCAGTAGATAAATAAAGTAGTCGGAATCAGGTGCATTGAAGGCGTCCATGTCTTTCTGCCTCTGCGCCTGTGGTGTGTTCCCATCCTGAGAAAGCGTGAGGACTTGAAGCGTTGTTAGTGCATTCGCGCTTACTAGTCTGAGGTACTTGATTCCTTCCCCACCGAGAAAATCCTCTACGATGTTGAGGTGGATTACAAACTTAAAACATAGGTTCTGAGTGTCGTAGTTGATCTCAATGTTCAGACACTCGTACCTGGCTAAAGAGAAGGACTCGATGGCCCTTTGCTTTGAGTTTGGGTAACATCATTTGCAGAAACCGTAGTTTTGCGCTGGCTTCTACTAGCTGACGATGGGCTTCCTTGTTTGATAGATTAGGAGGTTCAATATCGCTATTAACCAAGTAAGGATGTTGCATGCATCTTAGGGGCCACCAAGCTCAGAAATGGGCAGAGTCATGCAAAGAAACGACGCACTTTCTAATGTTCATCAATGCGTTGTTCATGTTCGTGTTAGTCTTGACTGTAGAATTAGCTTTAGAGACTGATTGTGCCAGGATGGCAAGAACCTGGGGGTTCTGTGCTACACAAGGGGTTATTGGTTTTAGGTAAGAGGAACTAAGCAGTGTTCCACACATACACATTATGGATTTGTACACTTCTTTTTGTAGTTTTGTCATGGTAATTGGCACAATGACTTCATGCTTGAGGTGCGTTAGGACAAGTGCATACTGGAGGTTGATTGACTGACCTTCCGCGGCAAATCCTTCATGACTTCAGCCTTGATTCGTCGAAGGAAGTAAGGGCGAAGTAATTCGTGCAGCTCGCTAACGAGTTGTTCAGTTAGAACCTCAAATCTTCTCTCGAGAGCGTTCAAGTTATTCCACTTGGAAGGGTCCAGGAGATTCATAAGGTTGAAAACCTCTCGGACGTTGTTATTGATGGGAGTCCCAGTCATAAGTATGCGCTGGATTGAGTTAAGTTCCTTCAGCCGCCTGAAAAGCAAACTTGAATCCGACTTGACTACGCTACATGTAAGTCAATGTATAAATTCCTAGAACCGACCGCACGCACCACGTTGTCCTTCGTCGATTACCACAACCTCCCAACGCGGAACAGATTTGAAAACCGAATTGAAGTCACGAGGATTCGTGATGGCTTCGTAGGTGCCGATGAGGACGTGATACGCAAGACTTCCATTTTCATGATAGAGCTCGTAGTTTTGGATGATATCGCGTGACTCTGCGGAGCCCGAAAACATGACGACCCTCACATGAGGTGCCCATGTTTCAAACTCGCGAACCCAGTTGGCAATAGTCGAGTTGGGGACAACAATAAGATTCGGAAATATCTGTCGATCCTTGACTAATTTTCCGATCAAAGATATAATTTGTATCGTTTTCCCCTTAAACGAATGTTTGAAACGAACAGGAAGTTCACTATGTCAAGCACTCACCAACCCCATTTCATCCGCAAGAATGCAAGGCTGTTTGTTCCACCAGTTTTGCCATAACCAAGTAAAGCCTTCAAGCTACACCCGACGTTAAGAATGCAAATCATCATTTTGAACAGAGTCTGATACCTGAAATGGCTTGAGTTTGAGGTGAGGGACTTCAACCCAGTCGGGTTGCGAGAGGATTTTGAATTGCTTGGGAGCTCTTGCGTCTCTTTTCTCCGCCTCTGCCGGTGTCAGGATTGGAACGACAGTTTCTTTGGCAGTAATATATCTCGCGAAAGCCTTCTCGAAAAGCCCACAACCATCTGCCTCTCTTGGTGGCGAATCCCAGGTGGCTTTAATGAGAGTACTGAGTTGGGCAAATGTCATTGACATGCAAGGCTTACCATCAGAGTACGCCAAATCTTGCCATTTGATGTACGCCCAGACAACATCCTTGGAGTCGTCTTGGGCAATCTTCCCCGTACGGCGTTTCCTCTGTGTATAAGTCTCTGTCAACGAAAGATTGGGCTCTTCGCCATCGACTAATGTATTTCGAGCGATAATATTCGCATCAAGCATTGTCCCGTCGTCGTATACCTCACTATCTGAGGTGACGATGGAACGAGCGGGTCGTCTCTTCGCTTTACTTGGCTGGGGTGGTTTCCAGAATCTCACATCCAGAATTCGATCCACCAAGAGCCACGCAGGAGGAATGAGAGCAACGGCATTAGGTACCGGTCCTGGTGGACCATCCACAATGCGCTCCTCATCACTTTCACCCTCAGGCTCAATCACTTGGCGATTTCGGGCACGTTGCGGTGATGAAAGGTCGTCAGGCTTGGTATGGATCTCCAGAGCGACTTTGGTATGGTCACGGTTATCATCTAGCAGTTTGATCCTGGCACCTTTCCTGAGGAAACCCGACAGTTTGTGATGTGCACGGGAAAGCAGGAAGAGGTGAGGCACCCATTCCACATGCCTAGAAATGATGCAAACGCTTCGCATCATGCGCTTGAAATATTGGGTGGAGTAAGAGCTAACCTGTAACTTTTACCTACCCACTTGACCAGGTATTCTCGCGGTAAGGCACTCTTAATTGGAGGCACTTGGCCTTTGGGGAGATTTGGCGCAACCGCGTTTGGTGGATAAGGCCTCCAAGCCAATATCTTATCAACAACTCCCCAAGAGTGGCAATCCTTGCATTTCCATCCAAATTTGTGATACTCTCGCGCGATATCCCTAGCAGATAACATTACGCTTTCATCGGCTTGTAAAGGGGGGAGATGTTGATAATGTGCTGCACGACGACACGAGGCGCAACGGAACAATAATGAGCGGATTGGAATCTTAGCGTTGGAACGTTGTGGCGAGTCAGACGTAAGACTGGCCGGTGGACTAGTAGCATGTTCCAATGTACCTTCAGAGGCTGGGGCAGGGGAAGACGATCGAAGCGTTGTGAGATGATCGGGTTCAGGCTTGGCTGGTGCGGCTGTCGGTAGATCATCCTTGCAACAAACAAAACATAGCTTCGAGATGTTACAATCCGCACAGACGAAGTATGTCATCTCCCTCTCCCCAATCCGATGGCGCTTCGGCGGGGAAAGGGGCAGCTCTTCATCGTCACTCATGGCCTCGATTGCCGCTGTGTAGTTTTTTGCTTCACGATTACGCACCCCGTGAACTATTTCGGCCCGCTGGACGTCGGGAAGGCATCCGAAATGATATGTCATGGTGCAGGATGTGCAGGCAACCCATCCGGCCTGTTTCTCAAGTAGTTGTTCTTCATCTAGCACGTCTTCCCTTTTCCTTCCCCTCCTCTTTTCGAGACGCCTGCGTTCGATGTGGGTCGGTTCACCTAAGCACTTAAGACAGACATTCCTATGTTGACAAAGAGGTGCGAATCCCATGCTCATCATCACGGATGGGGTATCTCTAACCACCCCAACCTCAGGATTGATCGTTTCGAATTTAGGTGCCCCAGGAATACGGATAACCAACGGAGGAATTTTCCCACCAATTTCCTCCTTTGGATCGCTGGGAATGACAGAAATGGAAGGTGATGTAGCGGAATAGTTTGTGGTGGAGCCACGAAGCTTTCTTGGGCTGAAGTTGAGCTTCTGGGCATTGGTTCGAGTTGAGCGTCGCTGAGGTTTGCCATCTTCTGAAGTGCTTCCCTCGTAAGATAACAAGCTGTCACTGTCACTAGGTTGGGTAAACGTCTCGGACTGAAACGTTTCTGGGTCCTTCCGCGCTCGTCGCCTCGGTTGAACCCTGCTCGCGGAGGGAGCTTGTGATGATGGGCGATCTCTTGGTCGGACGAAGCTATCCCAAGGATCAAAGGGTTCCAAACGATTTTCGGACTTAAGCTCGACTTCGTCGATTGATGCAATGTAAGAGGCGCGATGGACTGCAAATTAAACCCATGCTTACCGTACTCTTCCAAGAGACCAGGGTATTCTTCTAACTGTTCACGGGTAAACTGATTTTATGTGTGCGTCAGAGAAGCCGAGACAATTGATCGTCGCAAGTCCCAACCTTCTGAATGACTTCACTTCTTAAACGAGCATAGTACCATGTAACACCGCCAAATTTATACTCGCCTACCACTTCCTGCAGTTCGAGGTCGATCTTGTCACCAAAAGACGATTCGGATGGATTGTTTTCCATTCTTCCCGCCCCGACATCCGATGGTGCTTGGGAAGGTGCTGGACTAATTCCGGTCAAGTCAATCACTGGTTCATCATTGCCATTCATCAGAAAGTTTTCAAAAAACCCATTGTAACCCGCAGTACTGACCTTCCGAGCCGTCATCGATATTTGTGTACGGGATTTCAACCCAGAATGTCCTCCCAGGGGTTAAACGGAGGTCACGGCTGCTGATCATTTGAGAAGGCGGTTCGCCTCCCTCAATAGACGCGTCCATTTTCGCGTGCACCAGTAGGATGTGCGGAAAGACGCGGGCACGATTGCGAAGAGGTGCGCGTTGGCAGAGTGTAAAACAGGTCTCGAACGAACCGCGCAAGGCAAGTTGGGATCTACTACGGAATTATCCGGTCACATTTTTAGATTGACAATATCATTCAAGATGAGCCTTTTTGGATATCAACAATGGGATGCATGAAGCAATCCTGAAGAATCGAGGATTGTGTATGAATTTTTTTGGAAAATCGCCCAGACTAAGTTCCTTTAACCACCCCAGTTCCCCTTCCGACATAGAAATGGGCCTTACGGGAGCATTGTCTAACGGTGGAGAACAAGCTATGTGGCTAGGTAGGCAACATGTGGCAAAGGGGGGCGGCGGCAGGTGTTCTATTTGAACATCTACAGACATGACTTATACTTATCATCATTACACTAACACGCTGGGAATTACTGCGTGAGTCTCTGTGCTTCAAGAGTCTATCATATTTGAACCAGCACCTGGGGCTTTTTTGCCCTCCACTTCGTCTGCGAGCATGTCTGCAATGCTAAGATAGAACGTGGAAGGCTTGAACTTGATAGATTTCCCGGTCTATTCGGATGCGCTTTCAGAGACCTGAACACTTCCTTACTTCCTTACTAGGAACCACGCACCAAGCCCGCCCAAGCATATCGTGCGGCGCTGATCCAACCGATCTATGTAGGGCAAATATGGCTGACTGGTGAATTGGAAGCCGTAATTTATAGCTCACTAGGTCAATATGGTTGACGTCTTCCAATGTCCCCATATACTTTCCCCCTGGAATTGATGGTCCGAGTCAGAAATAAGTGAAAGAAGTGTACTCACAACGAACTTACACTGAGAGGAGGTCACAGAGACAAGACCATCATTTGGCCCTTCCTTCTCTAGAATGACAGAATGAGGGAACTTGAAGGCATCCAACAATCTTGGGGTAAATGCGGCGCCATAAGAGAAGTATTTGACATCGTCAGCATCCGGCGTTGAATCGTTAAAGTCCATCATGGCTCCCAAAGTCAAGGTCTCAAAAGCGGTACCGTCTCCCCCTCCAATGGGTAATTTATCTAAAAGCGCGAGAAGTGATGGCATCCGCTCTCCTAATGACCAGAGTCCCTCAGCTCCCAAATCACGCAGTCTGAAACATGCTCACTCCCAAGAACATGAAGGAAGTAGTCTGCAAACGAGGATCCTCTGTGTGGTGTTGCAATGGTGGTTACTGATATAGGAGTGAATCTGTCACTGCGAAGGTGTGTCACTAGATATCGACAATCCAATCCCCCTGGGAAAAGCATTAGCCTAATAATATCACATTACGATCTGGACTGACCATCGAGTGGCCTATGAATATCAGGAAAGGAAACTAAATGCGTATCATCTTGAATGCTGACAGGCCCATACCTATCAAATGCACCCTTCTTCCAGGGAAATTCTGGAAAGGATGTGACCAGGTTTCATGGCCCTTGGCCGGAGAGCAAGCCAGCAATCATCATACCTCGGATACGGTCCTCTCAAGGACTCTCGCCCTTTCTTGAATGCTGCTTGTTGCCGGCACCCGAGTAATCAGGACTTCGCACCCCGCAGCTTCCAAAGCTTCCTTGATTCCGCGCCAATAAGATATCGCTACTGTCGCCACATTTATTAAGTCGAATCCTAAAAGGCCGTGCACCAGCACTAAAGGCTCCTTCGGAGCACGATCTGTAATTCGTGTTGAGGTCATATGTCTGGCACGCCATATGAAAAGCTTACATCGCTTCCGGATTTTGGCTTCAGACCTTTCTTGGCTATCTCCTTGATCTTGCTCCTTCAATGATGGCTCTACATCTTCTAGATGTCGAAACCACCAACCAGAGGAACCACTTGGCCTCTGATTGCTGGACGCCGATGTACTGAACCCCTTCCTTTGGATCTCCCGGAGAACATCTAATGATGATACTGTGGGATATGCTTTACGGAGTGATGTGGGCCGTACAGGCGTCTTGGACTTGTAGTCCAAGTTGGAAGCAGGGTCAGAGGGCGGTGGAAGCAGACTGAACTTGTAGGGTGTAAATGAGGGACTCGGAAGGACCGTCTCCCGAGCAAGGCTCGGGAGTGGAGGACGCAGTGGTGATAAATCTTTCAGAAGAGTCGGTCCCGTGCCAAAGACCCAGCACTTATGCAACGAAGACTGCGAATCTTTGGGACAACGATCTTTTGTATAGTCGAACATTTCATCCTCCATTGCATCCTGCAATGCAGCGGCGGTTCGTTCGCGAAGGGTCCGAACCTGACGATCAGGTTGAGAAATTGTGTTGCCATGAGAGTCCACCTCTACCAGCTCGTAACCCCGCGTGCCACGCGTTGGTGAAGAAGGGGTGGTCAGTGGTGATCTAAAAGGCTGAGTGTGCATCCTGCTCGAAAAGGAATATCTTCGATGGCGCCCCATGGCTCGCAGTAGGTCCGGCGTTTTTGAGTTATTAGGATCACCCAGAAGGTCCGAGTCTACTGATGGCACTATCTGATAGGGATGCGGAATACACGTTGTTTTCTGAGTTACCCTTTGTTCAGAGTTTTGTTTGTTGTTTTATTCTGGATTGTTAACCTGCAAAGCCTCAGGCTGCTCACACGAGCACCGAGGGCAGGGGTCTCGAGAAAAATACGTGCAAATAAAGTAAAAAAATAACAGATAAGCCCCATCACTTACAAATGTTCGGATATATATTGTGTTGCTGGTGCCAAAAATGGGAGGGGTTCCGTGTAAGGTAGTCACGGGTAGATTTCTACCCGGAGCATGTAAGTACTGGGGCAACCGAAGGTTGCGACCACGCCTCTATGTGGCTGAGCTTTCTGTTCAAAATGAAGCCAGCTATGGCAGGACGTTTCCCTCTGTGCACAATAAAGATGGCATGCAAATAGACATGGGGTATTGTTTTTGGAAGCCCATATTAGTGCACCTTTGGTTTACTTTTGCTTTATTGTTGAGATATTGGTCAAGGTCATAGCAAAAAACATTGAAGATAGCATTACAGCGGATTCCGAAATAATAAAAGTTGAACAAGCGAAGACCCTGTTCAACCCGAATTGGCAAGAAGTAATGATGTTGAGTCACCAAAAGGGGAGCGCTGTGTTTCCTGTTGATGTACTCCATCAATATACTTGTCAATATGCTGTCAATATACCCGGCCACCTATTACATTCATTTCGGACTATTCCGCTCCCATCACGAAAGCTATATTGACGGGAAGCACAAGCACCTCCCCTTTAGAGACTTGATATCATTGGTACATAATTTACTGCACTAACTACTTTGGGTTGAACAGGGTCTTCTCTCATTCAACTTTTCTCCATTATTTCGGAATCTGCCGTAACTTAAAAATCGACACCAACTAATACCTAGATAGGGAAATTATAATTCAGTTCTAGGGGCAAAATACTATGAAATGGAGGAGAATTTTGGGCTCAAAATTTGGGAGCATTGAATGCTTGCAGAAGTTGCCAAAGTGATTTAAAGGTTCCACCAAAAATGCATCTGCAGCCCCACAGTGTAAGGGGTTGGTGTAGGTTCCAACCCCAGTTCTCCTCAATCCTCAGGTCATCAATAAAGTTGAGCTGTATGGAGCTTTAATTATCAATGATGGGGAGGATAAGGAGTTCTGTTCCTTTTCCCAAATTCCCACATTATTGTATATACATTGTTTATACATGTTTATTATGAGACACATATTGTCAGGGTCTGTCCCTCATCCAGAGGGGATGTAGCAATGAGGCCCAGGAGTGGCACTGGAGAGTCTTCTCCAGCCACTAATTCCTCAAAGTCGCTGAGGGGACTTGCCCTGGGCTTCACAGGGAATGAGTTGAGAAGAAGGGTAACCTTCTCAACCCCCTGTGAGGCCGCTACAAAAGGAGCCTGAGAACTGTGCAGTTGTCGGGTCTTTCCCGAGTTTCCATATTAGGTACCGTGGGAAGATTCTGGGCAAGCTGCTCACCCAGAACGTTCCCACGGTTGTGGCTGTGCTGGTTTCTGGGCGAGTTGCTCGCCCAGAACATTCCCATGGGTTCACGTACCTGTACTATTGTGGAACAGTGGAGGAAAAATGGGGAAAAATGTGGTTAGGAGGGGAAGGGGTGTCTGAGGGTGTGTGGGGTCGAGGGCTGTGCCCTGACATCACCCCCCCTCTATGCCACTTCGCCTCGAAGTGGCTGTGGTCCTTGGTTGAGGGGGTTCTCTTGTCCTCATTGGTCTGGGGGCTTCCGGGTGGGTTTGGTGGAACTCCTTTACGAGGTCTGGGGAGTTCTCCAGGTTTTCCCTGGGGAGCCATTCATTTTCCAAGTTTGGCCAGCCAGAGAATTTGACAAAGTACCAGAGCCATCTGTACCGGTACCTGGAGTCCAAGATTTTCTCCACCTCATACTCCTCTTCCCCATTTACAATGTCCGGGCCCGGGAGTGGGTCTGTACAGTGTTTGGAGATTCTATCTGGGGTATAGGGGTGGGTGTTTGAGACCGAGACCACTGGGTGGATTCCTCTCTGTTGGGTTGTAAGCTGTAGCTTTACTGCTGCTGGGGATACCACTTTGATGATCTAGAACAGGCCGATCCATTTATGGTCAAGCTTCTTGGTTGGTTGGTCTGTTGTGTAGTTTTGAGTGTTGAGCCAGACCTTGTCTCCGACTTGGTACACTGGTGCTGCCTTCCAGTTCCTGTCATAGTACCATGCCATCTCTTCTTATGCATGCTCCAGTGCCGCCTTTGCTTCCTCTTGCATTTTCATCATCTGAGAGGCAAAGTCGTTGGCCCCTTCAACTTCAGATGTGCAGGTCAGTTCAGTCCCCATGCATAGGTGTTGCCTGGAGTCGAGTTCGAAAGGAGTGCAGCAGGTGGAGGAGTGGATGCGGTTGTTGTAGGCAAACTCAGCAAGCGGCAGCCAGTCAGCCCAGTCATCCTGCCTGTGGTTGACAAACACCTGGAGGTAGGTATCTATTTCCTGGTTGACATGCTCCGTCTGGCCATCAGTCTGTGGGTGGTAGGCTGTCGAAGGGGCAAGCTTGATCCCTAGGAGGTCTGCCAGCTCCCTAGAGAAGCGGGAGACAAATGCACTGCCTCGGTCACTGAGTACCTCCTCTGGGAGGCCATGGTGCCTCCAGACATGTTCTAGAAAGAGCCAGGCTACACCTGCTGAGTCCATTGTAGTGACTGTGGGGATTGCATGGATGTGCTTGGAGAGTCGGTCCACCACTACCAGGATTGTGTTATACCCTTTGGAATCTGGGAGTTTGCCAATGGTGTCTACTGAGATCACTTGCCATCTGCGGGAGGGGATCTTGTTTGGAATAAGCTTCCTGACCTTCCGAGATGGGAATGTCTTCACTCTGTTGCAGGTATCGCATCCTGAGACGTACTGAGCAATGTACTGTGTGTCAGGGACGCGTCTGGGGTGGAGGGGGCCCGGCTGTAGCGCCTGGCAGAGGGACCCTCTCGGGGGACGAAGCGGGCGCACGTACTGATGGGCCCGATCTGGGACTGTAGTCCCTGGCCACTTAGACTGAAGTGGAAAACGTGAGAAGAAGGTTACTTCTTCAGTTCCCACTTCAGGTACATTTATGTACATGCAGCTTGGGTCACATGACGGGTGCCACGTCATCTACAGAGAGAGCCGCAGCCATCTGGGTATCCCCGCGGGGGATCCTGAGGGCATCCGCTGTGGGTGCGCGTGCTAGGCGTAGCGGGAAGTCGTCCAGGGTGTCTGAGCCAGACGGGTCAACAGTACAATGATACAAGGGAAGGTGGTTCGTGTAAATAGAGAGAATAAACAGAAAGGGAGAATGAAATAAAGGAGAAAGAGAAAAGAGGGAAAAGGGAGGAAAGGGAGGAAGGGGAAGAGGGAGGAAGGAGGGAGGAGGAAGGAGGGAGGAGGAAGGAGGGAGGAGGAAGGAGGGAGGAGGAAGGAGGGAGGAGGAAGGAGGGAGGAGGAAGGAGGGAGGAGGAAGGAGGGAGGAGGAAGGAGGGAGGAGGAAGGAGGGAGGAGGAAGGAGGGAGGAGGAAGGAGGGAGGAGGAAGGAGGGAGGAGGAAGGAGGGAGGAGGAAGGAGGGAGGAGGAAGGAGGGAGGAGGAAGGATGGGTAGCGGGGAGCGGGTGAGCAGGTGAGGTGGGCCCAGGTGGGCTTGGGTGGAACCGGGTCAGGTGGGTGTGCCCTGACACTGTGCCATCCTAGGCCACCAGTAGTTTTGGGAGACAAGCTCCAAGGTCTTCCACCGCCTGGGGTGGCCTGTTGCCACCGAGTTATGGTGGAGTTGTACCAGGTCATGGCGAAGTTGTAGGTCTTTTGGGACATATACCCGGCCCCAATGGAGGATCAGCTCCCCTTCCTTCTCCCACTCATCTGAATGTAGGGCCCCCCTCTCCAGCTCTCTCATTGCCTTTACCACTCCCTCATCATGCTCTTTCCCTCTGCATATCCTGTCCAGGATGTTTGCCTCCTCTCCTTCCACTACGACCCCCTCTGTAGCTCTGACTTCAAACCATTCTGGGTGCAAGAGGGTCATATCCATGTTGTCATCTCTCCCCTTTGGGTGGTCTGGCCGACGAGAGAGGGCATCAGGCTTCCCCATGAGTCTCCCCGGTTTATGGACTAGTAGGAAGTGGAAGCAGGAGAGGTAAAGGGACCATTGTGCTTGACACCGGTTTAGCCTCTGGGCTGAGCGAAAGTAGGAGAGGTTTCTGCGGTCAGTGTATACGTCAAACCTCTCAGGGGTCCCTTTGAGGAAGTGGCGCCACTCCTCCAGTGCTCAGACTATGGCGAGCATCTCCTTGTCATAGATCTCGTAGTTCCTCTCTGCATCTGAGAAGCCCTTCGACATGAATGCTACCGGGTGGAACTCCCCATCTGTCTGGAGCTGGGAGAGTACCACCCCTGTGGCGAAGTTGGAGGCATCACACTCCAGTCAGAACCGACCTGAATTTGATGGGAAGGTGAGGACCGGCGCTGAGGTGATGGCCTCCTTCAGGCCATCAAATGCTTCCTGTTCCTCCCTGCCCCAGGTCCACTGCTTCGACTTCCGGGTGAGTGCGTGAAGGGGCCGGGCCTTCTCAGAGAAGTTCTGGATGAAGCGGCAGTAGAAATTGACGAACCCAAGGAAAGACTGGACCTCTTTGACCTTCGTGGGTGCTGGCCAGTCAGTCACTCCCTGCACTTTCACTGGGTCCATGGCAACATGGTTCTCTGAGATGATGAGGCCCAGGTAATTGATTTTCCGCTGCTCGAACTTGCATTTCTGTCAGGGCACACCCGCCTGACCCCACTCCACCCGGTCCGACCCCACCCGATCCCACTACCCTCACCCGATGCCCCATCCTCCCTCCTCCTTTCTCTCCTTCTTCCTTTCCCTTTTCCTCCTCTTTCTTCTTTCCTTTCTTTCTCCTTCTTTCCTTTTCTACTACATGGACAACTTCCTTGCTCGATGTACCATTAACCAGGCTGCGCAACATGCCCGGACCCGGACACACCAGGTGATGCCCTACACACCAGACGCTCCTGAGACCTCTTATGGAGATACCCAGGCAGACACGGCTGTGCGCGTAGAAGACGTGGCACTCCCCACGTGACCTCCAACCACATGTACATAAACACAGCCTAAGTGGGAACTGAGAAGTAACCTTCTTCTCACACTTCCCACTTTAGGCAAGTAGCTTACATTCCCCTGCTAATAATAATAACACACTTCCCACTTTAGTCTAAGTGGCCAGGGACCCTTGCCTGCTCCGGGCCTGTTGTTA